AGGAGGGAAAAAAAGGCACAGAAGGCACAGAAGAGATTTCACTTTACAGTAGAGGTCTGATTGCACAAGGATGACATGTACAAACTTCCCAGTGGAGTTACCTAATCCAGCTCAGATCCTCAATCCCAATGCAGGATTGTGGAGAACCCTGAAAGATTAAGTGATTTGGAGGCAGACATTTAATGTGACCTAAGCATTAGACTGGGAATTGCACAGAAGCTGTGTTATGGGGAAATGCTAACTAATCACATGAGTTTGCCCTATCTGGGAAATTTAAACACAGGAAACAGGATTTGTCATGCTAGATCAAGTCACAAGTGTACTGAAATTACCATTGTGTCACCCACTGCTGCTAGTGTCCAGTGTGGAGAAAAGTAACATGGAAATGCCACATATTAAACTAGGTTTTTACAGGGGGATCTAGACACATCTCTCATCTTTCAACAAAACTCTACTAGCCAGGAGGCTTACATTAATTTTACATTGAATGAGAAGCAGTTATCTGACCCTGCCCTCACTCATCTACTGGGTCCATACAGAAAAGTGAACTGTTCTCTCTAGAGAAGATGATTCATAAAAATAAGAACACATAAATAATAAAACAAAATGCAAGACGTGGCATAGCATTTCCTCTGACCTAGGGTCCCACCAAGGTGTCAGATACATTGCTTTCCTGGTGAAGCAGCCCTTCAGTCCCTGGAACTGATGAGTTAAATGCTGACAGTTGGGGATGTCAGAGTAACTTATTACAAGAACAAGGGTTGGGGGTCCTGCTGTGTTAGCAGAACTGCAATATGAGTAATTGCCTTTACCCATATGAATTCCTTCCATTTTTTCAATTGGATACAGCATTCTCCACTTCCTGCCCTAGTCCAAATGGCTGTGCCCTGTGACTAGAGCCTCCTAAAGCAGTTTTACCATTTCACCAAATAGTCACATTTTAGAAGTGACTGAACTGATAGCACACTTAAGAACAAAACAGCTGAACCTTCCGGGGTCAAAAGGAGTTGAATGCACATTTAATGGCTTGGTTGTGTCCTCCTCTGTTCTGACCTTTTCTTCAAGCTGCAGTGCTGTCCACCACACAATTTTCTTTGTCTCTTTGTTGTAGAGGGAATATTATAAATGAACATCTGTCAAGTTCAGAATAAAGTCAAACAAAAGAGATCAGGATCTCTGATTTAACACAGAAACTCTGTATGAGCTATATTCTGGTGTACTGCAGGATATCTGGTCACCAAGTCACACTACATGGAGGCACTGAAGGCAGTAAGGCCTTCAGAATGGGATTCTGCTCTTGATTTTGTAGGTTTAGCTCACACATCACAAGCAAGCAAGCACCTGTACATCCATTTGTATGACTGCCATTGAAAAAACAAACAACAACAACAACAAAAGACGCCAGTAAAATCTCCAAAAATTAGGCAACTGTATTCTAAGGGTGCATTACAAATCAAGATGACATATTTAAAGAGTTGCTTGGAAGAATGACTAAATCAGAAGGTGTTTTGAGATTTGGATAATTATCCCATGGGTAGAAGAAACAGCCACCATGCATTCAACCATCCAAATCTCTGCAAAAATACTGAAACACCAGTGTAAAACCTGCATCACCGTGGGACCAGGCTTTCTGCCTTTCAGAAATGCTGAATCAGGTTTGCTTGACTCCTAAGCAAAGTAATGTTTTTCTAAAGTGGATGCCTGTAAGTAATATGTAAGTAATATACTGAGGAGAAGGACTGTGCTCACTTCAAGGGATGCAGGAGAGCATAAACTAGCCCTTTCCCTATTAGGATTTTAGGACACGCATGCAGGCTGCTTGCCCTGTAAGTGCAGAATGTTCATGCTAAAAATACTCTGTAAACAAACAGCCTCCAGCACCATGTCAGGGAAGGTTTTATTGCTCAGCATGGAACATTTTTAAAAAACAGCTCAGTGCGCTCTCACCTGAGAAAATGTGACAGGCAGAATGTCTTTGCGTGACTCCTTGCTGTGTGCCATATCTGGTGTTCATTTAATATGCAAGTTGGAGAGTACATCACTGTACCATGAAAAGTGAATTGTTAGGAAGGGGGCTTGCTGTGCCAAGCCTGGAGGTTGCAAGTTATTAATTCTGGAGAGATGAGCAGCCTTAGCTGACACATTCCTTATCCTGTTGAATTTTCCTTTTTAATTTCTGAACACTTTACAGAGACCTGCATGGAACTTTTTTATGGGAAAGAAGAGGAAATTAATCTATTGGGCAGGTGATAAACGTCAAGTACTTCTCTCCAGCCAGAATACAAACAAATTCTTCCTAGTCTGTTCTGAAGAAAAAGCTATAAGCAAGATGGGATATAACTCCCCACTGCTCCACAATTACATTCCTGCCCTGCAGGGAGGTGTCACATCATCCCGCTAGGCAGTAGTCAGGGGGATGCACCAAGCATGTCCAGCCTAGGGCAATCAGCTCTGCAGAAGACAACGCACAGGGACCTTTGCTGAAGCAAGCACACCTTCATCGAGATCTTGGGGAGATGCCCTGGATGGACAGCATCGACAAGGACATGACGGCAATATGGACGGGTGACAAAAGGGATGCAGCTAGGAAAGCTGTCCTGTCTAAGATGTAAAGCCTCAAACATATTCCTGCAGGTGCTGACTCTTCCCAGTTATCACTTCCCACCTTCTTCAAGTGCTTAGCTTGAGCTAATTTAATCTTCACAGCACAGGTTTCAAATCTGGTGTATAAACAGCAAGCTCAGGTGTTGCATCTCTACTGGTCTATGTCCCTGGATGGGTCAACGCTCACCTGAGGGCTCCTGAACCATGCCACAAACAACCTTTGCACCAACAGGCTCACCACAAACACCCTGTATCTTCCCTTTCCCCTTTCTGCACCTCACAGATGATTCTGCAGACTATGTCCAGCTAGAGTCTCTGACTGCTGGTGATTTTAACCCTCATTACTCTTTGAATGTCCTCACGGGCATGTTCTAATTCACAAACCAGAATACAACTTCTGGGACTGGTTGTCAGAAAAAAAAAAAAGGAAGACGTCTATCTTTGCCTATCAGAGTGAGAAGCCACGACTTTCACGACTTTGAACAACAAGGCTCAAAGGAGTCAGAAGTCTACTACATTTTCCTTCTCCAGCCTTGAACACATGTGTTGACTGAACTCACAGAACCACGGCACCAAGGCCGAGTTTCATATTTACTTTCTCCACTGCAACACTAGGGCCAAAGAGAGAGCCACGGGGTCAAAAAAGGCGTGTTCAGAGCTGCTACTTGTTCACGATTGCATGAAACTCAGAGGATGTCGTGATCAAGCTCGTCTCCCTCTCTACTGCTCCAGATGGGGCTCTGGATCACTGAAAGCCAACACTCTCAAAATGGGCTGGATTTGAGAGGTGTAGCTCTACTCATGCATGTAAGGGTAGAAGGAACTGCAGGTTTTGGATGCCCATTGCAGAACACCTTACAGAGATGGGATTTTTAGAAAGTTTTAGCTCTCTGAACATTTGTTTTTCCTTAGGACTTCAGAAAAGCAAAGCATGCAACATGTCTGCTCACTTGCGGAGCCTCAGGGGAGATAGCCTATTTAATCACTCTGCTGTTCTCGGGTCTTTCCCGGTGTCTGGCCAACGGTGACAGTGCTGGCACGTTCTCTGAAACATCTGCTATTGTCTGAGAAGTGGAAGGAAACAGTTTATGTTATCTCCTGTAACTGTTACAGGATTGACAGTGACAAGTGTGAAATGGACATGTCCCACTGAAAAGAAAAGCCCTAAGCAACTTTAGCATAAGTACATGGACCCAATTCCCTCACTGCTCCGTGGTGTGAGTAGATATTCACATCTGTTAGTAATAAACATCAGCTCCTTCTCACTTTGTAGTACCTTTAGTACCCGGGAAAGACAGCAATGTCCAGTATTGCTCTCCTTCCTCCCTAAGTTACTTTAGTGGCTTGAATACTACTATTTCTGATTTACACCAGTGCAATTGAGAAGAGAATTGAAAGAATTGACTATTTTAAATTGTTCCAGTAATTGCTCCTACCTACCCTGCTGCTATGCATCAAAAAATAAAAATAAAAATATTTACCTTTCTTCCAGAGAAATTTTTGGTCCTATTTAAGTAAACTTTTGGGTTTTTGAAATTCCTTTAATGTACACTTAAAACATCAATGAATCTAATACACCCCACTGCCCCAGATAAACTTCAAAAATAAATCTTGCATGTCTCATATGAACAAAGAAAAGCTTCACAGTACTGTACCCAGGGACTTGGCTTTGAACACCTCACCTTTTGCTGCTGCAGTAGATGTGAGGTAAGGGTATTTATGCATCTGAGTTAAGGGTATTTATGTATTACTTGCTAGAGAATGCACATCACATTTCATAGAGATATTGGAATTATCATAGTGGTTCTGGGTGCTGGTCTCTGGCTGCTTGGCTCATCTTTTGCAGCTGAGAGAAGATGGACAGACAGACACTCTCATCTTCACCATCCTTTTCCCCTCGACTGAGCGGAAAGAGCCTGAGGGGTGCAAGGAGCTGGTGAGAGGAAGAAGGGGAACGTGCTCCAGCTGGGGATGGCTGGACCTGAGCTTGTTCCAGCTACCACAACACAAGGGTTGTGGGGGCGGAGGACTGAGTTTGTTATTGGAGCAATGCATTGCCCTTCTGTGTATACATTAACCTAGGGTTGGGCAAGGAAGGGAATCGTTGGTAGGAAGCTCTGGAGAAACTTCCTCTTCCTTTTCCCTGCCCAAATGTGCTCTTTGACCTGTCTGAAGGAAAGTGTTCAGCTCTCAGTGTGCAAAGAGAGTTTTACTGCAGCATCAAATAAATACCAACCCTTCCAAAATATATCTCTTGAATGGCCGAGGAATCATTTCCAGTCAGGCCTCAGCCGTTACTGTCACTCTAGATATGAGCATATTGTTTGCAGACCTAGAGTAGGAGGTGAGTCTGAGGAGCATGCCAGCAATAATTATAACAAGTTATATGTACTTACAGGAGGAAGTGTTTGTTCCTTCTGTTGAAGCTTGTATCCCAAGCATGGGTTCTGCAACATACAGAAGGTGACAACAAAGTTGTAAGAATACAACCATAGCTACGCTGTTTTACTGGAGGAGCCTGAGTGTCTTCCCCCAGAAAAGTGTTTTCTTTTTTTTTTTATTTTTTTTCAGTAATCAGAAACCACCAAATTAGGGAGGAAAATGAGATAGCTCCAGAAAGCAAAGAACTTCAAAGTCAGTACAGCATGTCCTAGGCATACTGTGAATAAACAATTATGGCAAAAAAAAAATGCTCCATAGTCCTGGGAGGGAAACCCAGGAGAAAACTGGCAGAGAGTAGCAAAGTTTTTAGCTGTTTGTGACAGCATCAGAGGAAGGTGGAGGGCAGTGGGTCTTGAAGCTCCTCATGCTGACCCTGGAAGCTCTAGGTGTTTATCCCTTTCTCACACAAGCTCCAAGTGGTCAGCCAGGAGTCCTGGCTTTCCAGCGCTATGGCTAAGGACTTTTGTCTTGAAAAGGGCAGTGCCACCATCTCTGGAGACGGTGTCGGCTGGATGGGAGAGCAGGGCATGTTCTGGGGTAAAAATGGACCTCACAACAACCCTGAAGTGGTTGAAAAGAAAGACAAAAGAAGAACCATTCTCAAGCAGGCCAGTGACCTTGCAAGACAGTTGGAGGAAGCAGATCTTGAACATGACACATGCAAAGCAAGCACTCAACAAAGTTAAGGGAAGAAGCACCCCAGTATGGAACTAGGGCTGAACCTCCTGAACTGTGGAGTTACCAACCCATGCAGTAAAGAAGCCATGCATTTGGTTGGCTGCATGGGCTTTTACTCTATTCAAAAGCTTAGTGCAAAAATACCTGGTGTCATGCTCTAACTACATACAGTGCACTTGAGGAGCACTGCGAGTGGAAGGGCCTGAGGTAAAAGAGGGCTTAACTTAAGGCAGCATCACGATGTGCTCCTTAGAGAGAGATGAAGTCAGAGAAGCTGGCAACCATCCTGTAGATCCCAAGGAATAGGTCAGATATACTGCATATTCTTTACTGAAATATTTAACAGCAAATCACAACAGACAGGGGAGATGAAACCTAACAGAGTTAAGTCTTCAGGCAGCATAAAGCCACACTTAAAAGCTTAGACCACTTTGTAGGTCCTCCCATCACCAGAAGGTCGCATGAGCAATATTTCAAGAAACCTAGCCCCTGGTGATTTAAGCAGACAATCTTACAACAGCTTATCTCCAATTAAAGAAACAATACACTAATGACTTATTTGCATTTGCAAGGCCGAGAAAAAAACCCCTGGTGCCCAAAACCACAGTCATGATCAGTCATTCAGAAAACACTGAAGTGGCTGAGAAACTGAAAACTGCCTGGACCCAGGGCTGGTGACAACTGTGGGAAAAACAGCACCGGGCTGGGCTTGGGAATGAGCAGATCTCTTCTCCAACCACGTGGCCAAGCCTGCGCAGGGCACATTAGAAAATCTCGACAAGCAGCCACTGAATGTGTGTGTCACCTTCTACTTTCCTTGCAGGCGACAGTGCAACGTGGCACTCGGTACTAAACATATTGGAAAGGCAGGCAATCTTTTGAGCTTCCTTTCCAGTGGCACAATAGCGGTAAAGAGGAGGACAGCAATGTGACAGCAGGCGCTGGAAGGAACACAAGCGCTAAAAACACCAGATTTCACCCATGGGAAAGAAGGGAGCAAAGCACAGGCACTATGTTCTGCCTTCCCAAGGCTGCAGGCATAGGGAGCCTGGTGGAGTCAGTGACCAGCATGCCACCTCTTTGAACAAAATTGGTTCCAATGGTTACAGGACACTTGCTATTAGCTATGCGGTCTCGTATATAGCCAGTGAAGCACCAGTGACAGGCCCCACTGAGAACATGAAAGAATATGGGCTCTTGTGTCGGGCGGCAGTGCCAAGATTTCAGAAGTAGGTCGCCACACACGCAGACGCATCAAAGGAGAGACTGCAGGCATGCTAAATGCAGAATCTGGCAATCACACTGTTTTCCTTGATCTAGCCTACAAACACTGTCATCTCACATTAAAACCTGTCTCTGCCAGACATAGTTTTCTCAAAAAGCTGGCAAGACCCCAGCCCCTTTGCCAAGCAGGATATGTGCATTTTGTAAATCCTTGGGATGCTCAACTTACTTATACATGCCTATCCACGGCTTCTGCAGCCAAGCTCAGCAGTAGAGATGACTGCTTGTATTATGGCATTACAGAAAGCAGCTCCAAGAGTTAAAATAATAGAAGTGACTTCTCAATGGGGTCAGTTCCAGCAGTAAATCTGGAGGCATGCAATATGTAACTGCAGGCAGGATGTTGAAAACCAAATTCCATCAGTTTAAAGGAAGCCATTCTGGAGAAGGTTGCTAGTATGCTGAGGCAGTTTCAAAAGTGGTTAAAATACTGAGAAGTATGGTACCTTTCCACATTCATAGACCCAGAAAAGTGGTTGAGCAGTGTGAGCACAGCCCTGAGAAACAGCGGTCCGGTTACAGGCTTTCTGAAGGAAGCATCAGCAGCTCTATGTACCTTGCAAAGTAGCATGCAGCTGGAAGAATTGATGAGGAACAGGAGAAGCATGTCCTCATTCAGACCATGAGTCCTACCAAATCATATACTGTTTCACCTGAGCTTCAGGTTAATGCTGTGTACTAAGTTAGCATCCTCTGTACAGCTCCAGGACACTAGAACTTATGCTTAGCCTTCTTCATCCATTTCTCAGTCCCTGAAGCAGTTCCAGTATTCAAGGGCATACTTGTGTGATGAGGCTTTGGATGCAGGTGAATTGTGAATTGCTTTATGCTGAGAGAGCAGTCCAGAGCTGAAGAAGCAGTTTCAGGAAGAAAGAGGAAGAAAGAGAAAGAGTCTGTTAATTTAACTTACGTGAAGAAGTTTTTGTCCCTTCTGTTGATACTGGTATCTTGCTGGTGCTCTCTGGAAAACACAAGAGGCAACAAGAAGTTATAATATGGAGTCAGATGATCCTTTAACCCAGAACTCAACTCCAAGAATGGATAAGGTCAGTAGGAAAAAGATGGTCAGAGAAGTAAACTCAGTTTCAGGCTTCTTGGGCATGGGCTGCAGTTGGACATCAGTTTGCAAAAGTTTCTTTTCGGGAAAAAAAAAGAAAAATGATAGTGTCTACTGGTGGGACTGAAGGGAAAATACAATTTCTTCTGAAAGGACACAGCTTTACAGTCTCTTGTTCTCTCCGTGGAATAGAACGGTCAGTGAGAGAAATCTCACAGATAGCTCTGCTTCTGGAAGATGTCAGCGTGGGTAACAAGTGCTCCATATTATTTTAGGCAGTTGGATATTGTAAAGACAGGTTCCTGCTCAGCTCACTTGGATCGCTGCTACATAGATCCAGTCATGTTCCTTGCCACTTGTGGGAAATCATCTAAATCACACATTCAAACCCAGTCTCCCATGGAGTGACTGCCAAGGCTCTGCAAGCGAAAGCAAATAACAAGCTGCACTGAGAGGACAGCTGAAGAGAGGACAGTTTTTCTCTTCATACATTTCTTGTCATATAGGAAAGCAATATTGCTACTGACATAGTGCTATGGATTTCTGTGTTGCTTGTGAAGTGTTTCGTGATATAGTGGATGATGTTGTCATGCTTAAGATTCCTACTGAGCGCCTTGCAGAGTAGAGACAGAAGAAAGAAGAAGGCAGGGTTTTGGTTCATCTTTGCACAGAGACCTCATTGCAGTGACACCAGGCATCTGCCTGCAAACTGCAGATCCCACAGCCACAGATGCATGCAAGTTCTTAGATGTGAACGCACTGCCTTTCAGCCACATGCACCAGCAATCTCAGTCTTCCCCAAGCTCGTAAAACACTTCTCATTCTTAGAGGGGTGGAGCGCAGTACAAATGTACAAATTGCAGCTTTACAGCTGGAAAAAGCTACAGACTCCAGGAAAAAGGCCTGACTTTGAATCCTCAAGACACAACAAGAATCTTCTGGTAGACTGAGCAAAAGAGTTTAGAAAAAAACTCCTGAGAGATTTAGGAAAAGATCTTAGAAAGTCAGTGAAGTTTTTTTTGTTTTTTAATGGTAAAGATAAGCAGATGCTGTTTTCTTCAGCTAAGTCACTCTGTCTTGTTACCTGACTCCAAATGCTTCAAGTTCCTCAAACAAACCAAATGTTTTTATTTTCTGTGTTTCTAGATCAGATGTCCCTGCTGTTCTTTGTCTTCAGGGTCCACAGAGACTTCGCCAGAGACCAAACCTGTCCAAGTGTTTTCTTCTCAATCTTCCTATCATTACTCCTCTATGTTGAGCCTCTGTATTCATATCTGATTTGCTAGGCCTTCTACACTTCTATTTTTGCAGTTCAGTCCAGTTTTCTGCAGCAAATATATTCTTTGTCTTGGCAAACGACTTTGTTTCATTAAGGCAAGAGAATGTGTTACGCACTGTGTATGGTAAATTAACATTTGTAAAATGTTTAAGGTCAAAACCCTCACATGAGGTTTTGGAACAATGGCAACCACCTCTGCTGTCTGTCGGAGATGGAAGCCCTTCATTGTTGTACACTTAGGGTGTCCAAGCAACTAATCTTTCTTGCTCAGAAGAGGAGACAGAGCAGGACTGGCAGTAGAGCATCGCAAAACCTGGTAGGATGAAGCAACTCATCCTTTTCCAGGTAAAAAGGCCACATTCCACTCAGTCCCTGTGCTGAGTTGGATGAAGCATTTCTAGTTGTTACCGCTGCAGGCGCAGCTGTGTCAGCACCTCTCCATGTGTTGGCACCAGTGAAGACAGAAGGTTCCCCTTTGCAAACAGAAATACAGCCAGAGCCTGCTGCAAGAGCAGCATGTCCAGGAACACATTTAGAAAGCATGTGGCAGCGTAACTCCTTAACATGCCCTGCTAATAACGCTGCGTTAGCAACACTAACAGTGGATGTTAACATTTGAAAGATGCAAAACGTGCTTGCTTTTACTTATTAGGGTCAGTACGCCGTAATGGTGAGAGAGACGTTATACTCCATCTGAGAGGGCTGGCAAAAATCCACATAACAAACCATCTGGAAACAAAAAGTGGAGAGAATAGGGACTGCTTGAAGGGAGCCTTCAGTATTTGCCTGAGGTGGAAGAGTTTCAGGCATTTTCTAGCCCCAGTCCTTGCAGCTGCTGCTAGAGCCTGCTGAGATACGGAGACTGCAGCTTGCAGCCCTCTCTTCACGTTTCAGTTCCTGTGAGGAGCAGCAACCTCAGATGCTCCATCCACTTCTGCCTCTTGACTCTTCCAGGGAGCATTTAACACTAGTGACGTGCTCTTTCTTGAGACTGGTTATTTTTGCCTTGGGGCTGCTCAGTGTCCGTATGTAAAAATACTGAAGGAAGGCCAAGAGATCCTTGCTCAGGGTTGTTTCAGCAGAGAGGTCCCTGCAGCTTCTCACTCCCATTTCCTTAATATTCTGGCCAGGACACCTCCCGCTGTCTCCTCTGCCAAGGTGGAAGACAAGTGCCCTGGGACACAAGGCTTTTTTTGAAAAGGTACTTTGTGGGGTTTTGCATCTTGATGCACCCTGATACACAGGGTTGGCCACTGGGCCTCCTGAGGACAGAGTTTTTTTCAGGGCTAATCAGCTGCCGAGCAGCCCTATGGCTGCTGCTGTAAAGAGCCCTCTGCATGTCTTCGTAGCCTTCTTTCCCAATTAGCCTGCCAAAGGCCTAATGCAAAGCCTATCCAAGCCAACTGAAGGGCTTCAGTTGATCTCCCTAGCCTTGGTTTAGACTTTGAAGAAGGCTCTAAGGGTCCTGGCAGTGAAAGTCAGCCTGGGCTTTAAAAAGGATTCAAATGCCATGAACAGCAGACTAGTGAGAGCTGCAAATAAGCCTTCTTTCATTCCAAGGTGTATGTTCTGGCAGGGGTAACGCCAAGCGTTGTGCACTGATTGTGTCTTCAGATGCACAGCTAGCACCGACCTAGGGAAAGGGGAAGCTCCTGAAACCTCTGCTACTTAATCATTTCTTACAAGGTGAACAAAGCCATATTCGGAGGCCTTGCAGACGCGTGGGCACAGCTGGCCAGGGATACTGTGAGATCCAGTTGATAAACTGTCTATTTGGTTTGCAAAGCTTTAGTACTTTTCCCTTTGCTCTGCCCTCCAAGAAACCATGATGTCTGAAATGACATCAAAAGAGCACAGAAACGGCAATGAAAGCTTTAATTTTTTTTTTCCCTTGTTGTGTGTGTGTGTGTATGTGTGTGTGTTTGCATTTTTTGCTTTTAACATGAAGTTTCTATAAAACAGCTCTGGAACAGCACAGGTTAAGAGACTGTCCTGTCCAGTCTCCTCTCTCTTAATCTATCCAAGGTGAAAATATCTTCAGAGTTATCCTATGAACACACATCAGTGAGTGCACAGCAAATAGGAATTTGTTGCACAGCTGGCTTTCCACAGAAATTCCATATATTTGCTCCAGACCACTCAACTTGGTGCTTGCAAGTGAAGCAATGCTAAAAAATGTGCAATGTGTAGGCAACCTCTAAATTCTGTGCCTGTGAAGTTTTATGGCACTTACCTGTTCTGCAGTGAGAACTGATGAGATACAGTACCTATCAGTAGAGTATGATACAATATAAAATCCATATTATGCAAGAATGTACACACCAGGTAGTGTATATGTTATTAATGGTTTTACTCTAAGTATTTAAAAGTGAGGAAATTGTTCACCTCTCTAAAAGTTAAAGCTTTTTGTTCAAAATCATGGATTATTTATTTAGTCACCACAGAAAAAATGTGCTTGTTATCCACTTGGGTTTGCGTTGCTGCTTCTTGACAGGATTAGGGGAATCCTCCCTAACAGAATCATGACCCTCTGAAAAGCTCCAAACGTTAAGAGGAGCTAAACCACAGTGTTCTTTGATGTTAAAGCAACCAGTAGCATACATCTACATCCACATCCTAAGCAAAATTTGGGGGAAGTACTCTGGCAGATTGAATAATTGTCACACTTTTTGGATTTTTTTTAAAATACTGTATGCACCATGCAACAGAATGAGTTTACTCGCATATACTTTTTTCCCCAGTGTCTGACTGCATTCACAGCTCGTGTCCTTCTAGTCTTAAAAGGTGATGAAGGAGCAATATTGTACTTCCTACTCAAATATCACAGTTAAGCAAGGCAAAACAAAAATTTCCTATGTGGAGGCCCAGACTAGTGGCAATACACAAGACATAATGCTAGCCTAGCTTATTAATAATAACCTACGGCTTGAAATCCTGCACTGATATCCCACACTAATCACATCTCAGACAGATCAACATTTGAGTCCGAGGGGTTCTTCTATGTGAAGTATTTCACTGTTATAAACACGCACTGTGAGGTATAAAGCATATGATGCTGGTTTTACTCAAGTGTATTTTTTTGCTATCTGCTGAAAGATCAGCTCCTGGATTCCTTCAGAGCAAGAATAGTATGCTCACACACTAAACTTTAAAGCCTTGTAATAAACTTTTCAAATATGAAATTGAAAGCTTTGCCTGTGGTACAAAGTGTTCTCTGTGGCGTTTACTAAATTTAGTAAGGTCTTACATTTTTGAAAAAGCCTGTGGAAAGAAATTATGGCAAAAATTCTTCGCTTGACTGAAGTGACAAATTGGGGAGGGAAAAAAAGCAATTACCACCACATACCCAAACTGCTGCACCAATTATAAAACTCTAGGAGAACTTCTTGCCTCTCTTCTAATCTCAGTTATAATCTGTCTTAGGAGAGCATACATGAATTGGAGTGAATGAAAATAAGATGGCAATTCATGTCCTGCAGGCAAGTTATGCTTATTACACATTTAAAAGAGGACAGAATAGCTCCTTCTCCATCATATTAGGACTGGTAGAAGACAGTGCTTATCTATCTGTTTTTATATTTGTTGCATTTTTAAGCTACACATACGACAGTATATATGAGACTTTATGCTTTTTTTGTTAAAAAGGAAAAAAAAATCTTGGTGGGTAAATATAGCGTACACCCTCTGTATATTATTTATAATCCATACTTCCACAAGAGCATATTTGTGAATTTTAAATAACAGTAATGACAAAACAATAACAATAACAAAACCAAAATTACTACAGCTTTGACTAATATTGTTTAAGGTAAAAGAGTTTCATCATTTCTGGGAATGAAATAAAAAAAAATAAAGTGCTTTTCTCATTAGCAACAAGAAAGAAGTTCTTAAAAAGCTTTTCTTTAGAAGTGTTTCTAAAGAATCTTTAGAAGTGTTTCTAATATTTCTATGCTTTGGAGCAGGAAAACTGACATTAGCTATTTTAAGAAGTGTAACTTTAGTAACAAAAGGATGTTTTTTCCTACTGTTTAAAAAAAAAAATTTCCTTGTTCTTCACGTGCTATTTTTTCTAGTACTTTTGTTGGTAGATTTTGGGGACCAGGCACTGCACTAGATAGAACCTTGGTCAGGTCCTAGGATTCTCTCCTGAGATGTACGAGCAAATAACTATGATGATTGGTAAAGTTTGACAAAGTTACAGGGATTAAACCAAGAGTTTTTGTTTGTTTGTTTGTTTTTACTTTACAGCACTCATCTTTTAGTGAAAACAAGAATAAGCCCATGTCCAGGAATATCTTCAGCTTATCTACCATATCTGTGCAAAGTACCCAGAGTTAAGGTAGTGGAGGATCTAGTTTACTGATTTGTAGATTGCAGAGCACATGTAATAAATACTTCTAGGTGAGCCATAAGAATAGTAATTATGTATTAATATTATGTAGTAATAGTATTAGTGACTAATTAACATTGTGGTTCACAAGGATGAGCATACTAGGACCAACATAAGAAAATCAGGGTCTCCAACACATCCTTCTCCATCCCCCGTGATTCTGTCTGCTAGACATGAAAGGAAACAACCTCTTTTCCTGTCCTACAATGTTCAGTCCATTGAGATGTCCACACACTACATTTCTACAGGGACTCTTGGTCTTTTCTGGACACCAAGGTCCTCTCCAAAAGCCCATCAGTAGGAAATTACAGATAAATGGATAAACATGTTTTTTTTTTGTTTGTTTGTTTTGTTTTGTTTTCTCATTAATATGGCAGGACCACACAGATACATCAGACCTGAGTAATGACTGCCCTTCAGGGCTCATTAGCGAGTTTGGGTCCCAAATCTGTCATTAAGAAAGTGAGGGGAAAAGGTCAGGGAGTCCAGGGGAAGAAGGGGTGAGGAGGTCAGCTGCACAGGGGGTCTGTCCCTGCTTGGAAAGCAGATGTTGCCCTCAGAGGCCTTAGGGATCCATTGCTCTTCAGTCACCAGATGTTGCCCATGTTCCTTAAGACCTAGGTGGAAAATTCCATCTTCAGGAGGAAACCAGTAACAATTAGTAACAATTTTGTTCATAATTTATAAGCAATAGTAATCAGAGAACTCTCAAATATATGTGTGTCAACCGAATATGCATGATTGCTTTCTTTATCCACTGAATGATGGCATGCCTGATTCTGGATTATCAAATATCACTGAGACGTAGGTTTCCAGCTGAGTCATTTTACAGATACGAGCCAGCTGCCAGGTTTAGACTGGATCCGAGCCTTCCCTCTGTTTTAGGAGTGGTTGCATGCACAGTTGTGTTTTAAGCGAGTTATGTTTCGCAACATGATTTTACAGATTTGAGCATATCAGTTATAATGTACATGGATGGGCTTTCCTGCAGGTGCACTCATTCAAAATCCAGCTCCTGTTTCCCTGCAACAGGAATGCTTTGCTGTCATTCAGTACAACCAAAAAGGAATTTAAAAAACCTAATGACATCAAGCATAGGAATGAGGTCCTCCATGCAATTCACAACCATCCTTTCTCTTAGAAAGATGTGGAGGATGCCCAAACATTTCCTGCATTTATCTGTATCCTTGCCCGTAAAGAGTGCTTCCAGCTGAGCTTTGGAAACTGGCTCCTTGGAAAAAGTACAGGAGCTCTACTGTATAACAAGCTACTGAGCACCAAATATTGTTGGAAACTGTTGGAAACAAGTGCACTCACAAAGCTATGTATAGGTACCAGCCCCATTTTGCCCCTAAAAGTATTCTGGCAAATAACACTGGATTTTTCATAGCAGTCTCATGACTGCAATACTATACAGCAAGCATGGAATCTCAGGACTTAGGAGTCTTCTGCTGATGCATCAGAACAACAAATATCTGGCATGAATGCAGTCTAGCAATCACCGCATGACCACGCAACAACAAACCCACTGGCAAAGGGTCACATTCAGATTTCTGTCTACCAAAATATCTAGCTCCTGTTTCAGAGCTAGTGTGCAACACAAAGCATCACTGGTAATTTCCTCTTGAAATAAGATTTTAAAACCCATCTTCTTGTACACAGGGCATGTTTGTTTGATACTTCACGAAAGCTAGATCCTGTAGCTTGAATTGCCAGAGCTGAATTTGCCAATGACAAGCTCAAGAAGCAAGATTTCTGCTGAAACATAGCCCCCTGATACACTTGCATTGAGAAACAATACTAAAACATTTGTGTATCATGAAAGCACTCATTAAATTATGTCAGGAGCATTTGGAACTTCCTACAAATGAAACGAAAAGGAGATCTTAAAAGAAAAAACTTTAATAACTTTTAATTCTTTGGATAAATATGAAAATCAACTGCCTGATGAAAAGCTCTGATCCTCAAGAAATAAATTTAAATCAACACCTGAATGATACTCACTGAATAATTTTGATAGGTTGATCACAAAGCCTGCTCTGAATGTCTCTAGTATTGCACAAATAAAACAAAAAAAGTCAACATCTCTGAAAGGAAAAGCTGTGGCAACCAGAACCATACATATTACTTAAAGATGAATAAGGAATTTTTGGTTTAGAAATAAGATTGCGACTTGTTTCTGGTTAAATGAAAACACCACCACAGGCCTATGGTGCCTCCATTACCTATGTGTATGATAGAAATAAAAACAATATTCCTTTCCTTCATCCTATTCCTATCTTGATTATGTAGACTGCGAGATGTACATGGGGTTAGAAAGTGTCTCCCAGAAAATGCTGCCCTCTCCCAACATCCATAAGATGATGCCTTTCCATGGGTAAGCAAAGCCAGACTGATCCTGAACACATAGGAGATGCCTGATAGGTTTCAGTGTTTCTACTTCCACTTCACCAGCAAAACTTTGTCCCTACCTGTTCCAATGGCAGCATAAACACAAGGTCTCTGAATTTGATGGTAAATTGAAGAGCTGAGTCTTACCATTGGTGTCTGTAATGGTAACACTGGCTTTGGTGCTGTCATTCCCTAGCTTGCTGCTCACTCTGCATGCGTATTCCCCAGCGTCGGCCAACGTGGCTCTATAAATATGAAGCTCGGAGTATTTCCTGTGAAATGAGAAAAAGCATGTAAACATCCTATGCCACTGTAACACCCTCTTTTTTTCTCCCTACATGAGTCTTGTCTTCTTTCTTAGGTTAACACTGTTCAGTTTTGAAAGAAGGGAGGAGAGCAAAAAAAGTCTTTCTCCTACAGGTTGATGGAAAACAGGCATATTGACAAATGCAAATAAAGATATTTGTTTATGCTTTTCTGCTTGAGAGGAGGCTTTCTTCTTAAAGGAAATGTCTGAAAAACAGCCTTCCTGTCTCATCTGAATTGTTGGCTATTCAGATGCCATGGAGATGGGTGTAATATTAAAATAGATTACCCTTACCTATGGGTTCGTGTTGCCAGTAGCAGAGCTCTGGTAAGTACTGTAGTTTCCAACATCTGACTAAATAATTGTGAGATAAGGACACAACATTCTCTTTAACAACCTCTGAGACCCCAATAGTAAATCATTCTCCAGCACTAACAAAAAATTATGGGCAGGAGCACAATTTGCATGAAGCTACATTTTGTTCCTGGCTCAGAGATGTAATTTAATCAGTCTCCAAGGTTTTAAGATTAGATTTTAAAATGCAGAACTCCTGCTTGCCCATTAATTTGGTGGGAACATGTTCTGGTGTCATTCAAAGGGTCCCCAACACATGCCATGGCAGTAATCCCATTAACAGGAGTGTGGAGAATGACTAAATTGGGGGAAATTTGCAAAATTACTACTTTTCCATTTTCTCTTTAGAAGAGGTGATCTGAGAAAGTTTTGCCTTCTGTTACTTATGACCAACAGAATAGCCACTTTGGAGACTGAATGGGCTTCCTTGTGAGGGTTGACCCCAATGGGAAGGATAGCTTCCAGTGATGTGGAATTTTTTCCTTTTAAAATCTGTTACCAGCATGGATAGCCATGAGTGATAAGAGTGACAGGAGATGCCTGAGGAGTTGCTCCACCACAACCGGGGCTCCTAAATCCCTGTACAGATAGCCATGCCTCCCTCCAGCAGTGTAGCCAATACCTCATCTCTAACATGTGCTTTTGGGCAGCTCAGCCTTCCTCATCTCTAAGCAAAGGTGCTACACCCAAAGACTTTGAGGACTAAAGAGTCCTGCTCTTCACTCTTCTTGATGGCCATGCAAACATCTGCCTTTACAACCACAAGCTGATGGCCTGTTCAGGAACATCCAAAAGCTTGAGTGGACAGGTGGTGCTTCCTATGCTCCAAAGGATATTTTTCAGCCTTGCTTGCAGATGTTTATCTATATGGAGAGCAGACTGTAGCCCTAGGGTACTTAAAGAGGCAATGTAGATAGACAGAGAGCTTCTGGGAACTCAGTTCATCCCAGTGATAAACAGGAAGCACTGCTATAGCTATATCACTTTGATTTGGGCACTCTCTGTGTTTCTGCTGTCCGTGATATTAAGTAGTGTCAGTGCAAATTGTCCTCGTGGCACTCAAGCCTTTTAGAGGATGCAACTCGCGTACCTCCACATTAACTTTTATTCTCTGTTTTAAGTGGCAGCTATAGAGAGAGCTGAGGAAGCATGGTTTTCCCTTTGTAACTTTAAGATGATACTGAAATAGGTGAAACAACCATATTTCTTACAAGCCTAATTGGCCAAATATACTTACGGTAGTAAAAAAGTCTGAAAATAGGAGAAATAATATGAATACCTATAACCTTAAGGATCATATCGAGTGTTATTAGGACATGATTCAAAATAGTCTAACTCAATGGCCATAAACAAAACAGCTCCTTAGCCATACAGTACTCCAATAGTACTTGCTACTTCTCTTGATAAGGGGATTTGTGTCTAAATGATTGCCCTTTTCTCAATATATACCATCCTATATCAGAAAA